TTTTACTTATCAAGAGTTCAACAATTCACTGACAGGAATTTTCTGGCTGTATAAGTAAAAAAAAATGGCTCTGTGGTTGCAACATAGCCTTGTAACATTCTGCAGCCATGAAAAGAAAAGAATAAATATGTTTGCTATTGTTCTTTGCTCCTCTTTGAAAGTAAAAACATTTTTCCTTCACAGAATCTTAACATTTGGACTACCTTTGTTTAGTGTTTTTGGAACACTAAAAGGATAATGCTTTTGGAATGGAGATAATGTTGAGGGCAAATGAGGCCCTTACTGTGTGAATGTGGCAGTGCCTGCTTCTCCACATGCCTGTATGTAGGAATACCCACTTTTGCCTCAGCTGTGCTTCCCAAAGCTGGCTCTGCTATGAATTACAATGGTTGGTTTTGCCCCATGTGCCACTACTGATTGGAGATTATAGCCCATAGTTTGAGCTGACCAGCAGAATTGACACAGCTGTCAGAATAATGTTTCCCTTAAGCCTTTACATGCCTTCTCAACCTAGTCTGGTGTGATGAGGAGTCCTATAAAACAGATACGGGGGACATGTTAGCACATAAGAACTAAAATGCCCTCAGGAATTTTTATCCAAGGAAAGATGAGTTCTTAGCTTGCCACCTCCTGGATAAAAAATGTTGTCACCAATTAAAAGTGGCTCCTAGCTGGCATCATGATCCAAAGAGCTATCTTTGGATCTGATGTTTTAAAATGGAACTATCTTCACTCAGGGCTTGATCAGACAGGCATTTATTTTGTGCACCGCAGGGATGAATTGATTCCCCCCCCCCTGGCAATCAGATTATGTAATCATTGAAGTGAACCAATCCATCCCCAGAATGCCCTGACATGCACTTTTTTGAGCCCCTGTCAGAGGCTTTTACTGTTTGGTGCAGGTAGCTTTACTCTAGTTTGGTCCATTTAGACCAGCACATGCAATCACTGGGAAATGACCAAGTAGCGAGCCTTAAAAGTTTTCAAGGCTGCTTCTACTGGAAATTTCTGGTATCATGAAGTGGCTTAATAAGTGAGACACTTTATGATAGCAACAAATTAAACATTTGCCCTGCTTCTCAACAGGGGGCAGAAGAAGTGAAAATATTATTTTCTTACTCTGCTAGACCATTGCTGATGTACTGCATCACTTAGATTAAATAAAAAAAATTGCCTTGTTTGAAGTGCCAGTTAAGAAGCAACAGTTTGGCTATGGGGAATTTCTCAATTAACACTGCAGAAAAGGCAAATAAAACAATTTTTTAAAAAATGTAAGTGATGCAGTGATGATCTAGCAGAGTAAAACATTTAATAATTTCACTTCTTCAAAGATCAGGGGAAGAGCTCAATTTGCTGATATCCTGAAGCAGCTCATTTATAAAGCCACTGCACAATATGAAAAATTGGCAGCAGAGGGAGCAGAGTTAAATTGGGTCACTTTAGGTCCATATGCCATTTGGATGGCACATCAAATGGCATATTGCTCCTCCAACTGATCTCAAGCAACCCTACTTAGACCACATCAGCTCATTATAAAGGGACCAGTACAGATGAGCCCTCAGTTGGCTTTTCAATCTCTTGGGAGTTTCAATTTTTGTTTGAAACTGTAATATGCTGTTGCTTTATTTTATACTGTTATTATTTGGATTGCTGTTAGCCGCCAAGAGTAGACTTCGGTCTAGATGGGCAGGGTATAAAATAAATAAATAAATATGATTAGGGTAGAGCAGTGGTTCTTAACCTTTGTTACTCGGATGCTTTTGAACTGCAACTCCCAGAAACCCCAGTGAGGACAGCTGGTGGTGAAGGCTTCTGGGAGTTGCAGTCCAAAACTCCTGAGTAACCCAAGGTTAAGAACCAGTGGGGTAGAGCAATCTTCTGTTAGCTCTTTGGAGTCAGAACAAAAGCCAATAAATCTTCTGTTAGCTCTTTGGAGTCAGAACAAAAGCCAATAGGTGTCCCCGGATGAATGGCGGTGGTAGTGGTGGGGAGGTATTCAAAAAAAGAGTAAAATTTCCATGTTCTGTCTAAAGCTCTGGGTTGATTAAGTAACTAATTCAAGTTTGCTGCTCACACTTTTTAATCAGTAAAAACTAAAGAAAATCATGCAGTATATAAAATTATATAAGTGCATAAAAAGTGAACAGTTTGTGAGAAAAATACAGTAATGAAACACATACCAGCAATATATGATGAGCCTGTTTCTCATTATCAAGCAATTCCTTTCTTTGGTGCTAAGGGCTATGTTTGCATAATAGCATCTTGGCTTAAAAGCTGATAAATGAATGAGCTTGTACAAATGGCTGCTTTCTCCCTACATGACAGGACACAGTTAATCCTAGAAACCACCAATTAACCATAACTTCCCACTTTGTCTGAACTGGAAAATAATGGTTGTCACTTTTAGAACTAGACAATATCTCAGTCCACAATTTGAAGCTGGCTTTACATCTTGCCGTGCTCCAAATCCATTAAGCAAAGCTTCTTGTTTCAAATGAAACAGAAAAATTAGTTGATGAAACATTTCCTGGTCTATTGCTACATGTCTATGACAAGTTATTTACCAGTCATTTAACTATACCACATATTTGGAGGGAATGTTCTAAACCAAAGCCTAAAACTTTGATGAACACTTGTGTTCCATCTGGAAGATGCAGAAAGATGTACAGAAGCAATATCATTTTGAGGGTTAAAACAACAGCAATTATGGTTTGTAAGTTTGTGGCAGTAATTGGTGTGATAATTATATACATAATAGAAAATGTTAAGCTTTTTTCTTTATGGAAGTAAAACAGCTCATATGTTATGGCAGAATACCAACACCAAAAGGGAAGTGAAAATAAAAATATTAAATGGTGGCTTTCCACTATGAGGCCAATATTCCACTGAGCTTCTGCTGAGCAGAAAGTCCTGCCAATGTAGTAACACAAGAGTGCACTGCCAAGAAATGTGGAAAATGAAGGACTATGGACTCTGTTGCTCTTCTAGAAAAATCAGGCTTGTAGTTGGTGCCTGGGATGAGATGGCTGAGAGAAGGCCCATCAGTAATGGGAAGGCAGTGCCATCAGCAGCTTGCAGCTATGACAGAGGCTCATTCCTTGGTACTGAGCTAATTAGGAAAATGGTTTCAGCTGAGTGAGAGGAGGGGAAGAAGTTATTATCTTCCTTGTGAACATTTGAGGAAACTGGCCATCTGATTGGAAGATAAAATTTGGGTATGAAAATAAGAAGTTACTTTAGTTGGCTTAGTAATCTCTTATGAGAATGCTAAGCTCATGTGCTATCCTACTGCTCCTTTTGACATTTTCAATACCTTTAACAAAATATAAATTGTCTATAAGATACTTTTGGATTAAGAGTGCTACTGGTACTTAAAAATAGGCCTTGGCTTCGCCATATACAGGGAACCTCTGTTTTGTAGGCATTGTTGCATTCCTGTCTTGCAAGATTGGTATAAGAGTCACAGTGCCCAAACTGATGGATTTTTGGAGCTCCATAGAAGCACTTGCCTGGTTAAGCTGGACTAAGGTGTTGGGATTCCTCCAGCTATCAGCCCTGTCATCAGAACAGACAGGGTAGTGTGGCTGAGTGTTAGTGTGGGCCTCCCTGAATCCTGGGCACCCTTGACATTCACTACCTACAGAAGAATTCCCATTGTTAAGGGGATTAGAAATTGAGATAAGACCACTGCAGGGGAAGGGGAGTGCTGTGGAAGGATTGGTGCAGTTTACTGTTCCTGATGGCTTATCATCTGTGGTGGCTGCTTTACTTTGCCTTATGACAGTGCTGATCCTGCTGTATTTCCACTATTCCCAAAGTAACTTGTTCAGCGTAGCCACGAAGGAAGAAGCCCTGAAGAATAGCATTTTGACTGACTAATGGCACAGTGATGCACATCGTAAAGACTGCAACAGTTCATAAAGTTTTCATTTATCACACCCTTATACTGTACATTAATTCTTTGGGTCAGAGTCAGAACCAGTCCAAAATATGTGGCTTGGTGAAGAGGCAGAGACCACCCCAAGAGCCCCAATTCTACCTACAGAAGCCAATCTGGCAGCTGAATCTTATTTTAATACGTGTAACAAGATAACATTCTGTATCATGCCTGGGGATTGGGGTCTAGAACAGGTTATGGGATCCACACAGCTCATTGTTCCCACAGTGGAGAATGACTGTGTTTCCTGGAAGAAGGCCAAAAGACTGTCACAATAAACAGATAATCCCCTAGTTTAAACAGTGGGAGCAAACCTACTTGGAGCACCTGGTTAATCCACATTGGAGTTTAGCAGAAGCTCCGCACTTTGGAAGCCCTTAAAGCAGCCTTGCATGTTGTAGAGGCGAAGCAAATGACCAGGTAAAACCGTTCTGTTTTGGAATAGGCAGAATTTTACGATGTATGAAGAACACTGAAAGGAAAAAAAATACTATGGAAAGGCAGATGGTAATGAAACTAATTACCAATTGATTGAAAGAATTCAAGTACTGTTCAATAGGAATATGTAAAAACGTGACCCTCGACAATGTATTTGTTTTAAAAAAATCGGAAAAAGTGACATAGCGCACTAATATTTTGAGAAGGCTGATTCCGGAATGCATTAGAGACTGTCCTCAAAGCAGGAGACAATGAGAGCAAAATCATTTGGGGTATGATCGGAAGAGAAGGTGATGATCAAATACACTTGGAATTTAGGACGTGAACGAGCGGAGCTCAAGTTTCTGGCTTCCTTCGCGAGAAGCTGGAGAACCACCGCCTGCGAAAGTAACGTGGCGGTTCCACGGGAAGGAATTTGCCAAAAGACAACGATCTCATGGTCAAATGCGGAACAAATTAAAACTCCGCGATGCCTCGCCCGCAGGGGTAGGCGAAATTCGACCGCACTATCCCCGCCGTCTCGATAAAAGGCAAATAACACTCCCGTCGGCTACTGCGTCTCCTCCCCATTTAAAACCCCGTCCCCCTTGCCTCCCTCCTTCGCTTCATTACTTTTTGTCTCCCTTCCCCCGCTCCCACGACTCCCCCTTTCGCTCTCGCTCCCTCGCACTCGCGGTTCAGAACATGAACCGCCACAGGCACTACAAGTAACGGAAACTCCGCGAGCCGCCAGGGCGCCTGCGCCGGTCCAGTCCCCTCCGCCGCTTTCCCGCGCAGCTTGCTGGGCATCGTAGTTTTTTCTGTCATTCGCGTCTGGATGAAAGATCCGAGCGAAAGACTTCACGTCCCGAAATGCTTTTCGTCTCGGCTGTTCCCATCTCGGGCGGCTGAGGCTTCTTAGTGTGTGTGTCTGGGTGCTCGAAGTGGGAGCGGCGGTAATAAGATGCGTGTGAAACCACCCAGTCCCGGGAGAAGAGGCTGACTTTCTCAGAACCGCAAGTCAGTCATCGGCGGTTGGGGGGTCGGCGGCGGCGGAAGAAGAAGCGGGAAGGTGAGGAGCAGTCCTGGAACGGGGTTACGTAGAAAGTTCTTTCGGTCCCGCAGACGCGGCGGCAGTTGCCACCCTTCACGAAATGGGATGGGTGGGTGTGTGGGGGAGGGAGACGCGAAACCCGAAGTAAAAGTCTGAGGTGCGGGGCGCCAGGCGAATCGAAACCAGTCCATTTTTCCCGCCTCAGGAGGGTTTTTTTTCTCCAACCTTATCCAGATGTGGCCGGTGGGTGGGGGCGGTTGCGCCCAGATGTGGCGAGGTGAGCAGGCGGAGTTCCTCTCGGAGGCCACCCGGTCCTTTCCACCCTGCCTCCGAAGGATGCTTCGAGGCATAGTTGCATGTATTCGCTGCTGCTGTTTTTTTTTTAACGGACCTCCCTTCAAAAGTCAGTTTCTTCTTACGTTGGGCCGTCGGGACCTTAGAAGGGGAAAGAGCTCTTTCTCGCCCCACCCCCCCCTCGGGCAAGAAGAGAGACTTTCGGAGCCTTAACCTGTCCTTGCCTCAACTAGCTTCATCCGGAGACGTGTAGCGCCCGATGGAAAAGGTTGGTGAGGTTTCGGAAAAACCTCCCGCTCTCTTCTCTCTCTCTCGTGCTCTCAACTTGGCAACCTGTTGGATCGCAGCTGAATTGAACAAAGCGGCCCAGGCCTAGATCAGCCCTGAAGCTGCATGGGTGCTTTATTCTGATCCAGCAGATACCTGAATCCTCTCAGTGAAGGTGTGGTGGTGTTGTTTAGTGGTGACCCCATGGACCAGAGCACGCCAGGCCCTCTTGTCTTCCACTGCCTCACGGAGTTCCGTCAAATTCATGTTGATTGCTTCGCAGACACTGTCCAGCCATCTCATCCTCTGTCATCCCCTTCTTCTCCTGCCTTCACACTTTCCCACCATCGGGGTCTTTTCCAGGGAGTCTTCTCTTCTCATGAGATGGCCAAAGTATTGGAGCCTCAGCTTCAGGATCTGTCCTTCCAGTGAGCAGGGTACACCTTCCGGTGAAGGTGTAAGGTAAAGGTAAAGGTTTCCCTTGACAAATTGTCCAGTCGTGTGCGACTCTAGGGGGTGGTGCTCATCCCTGTTTCCAGGCCATAGAGCTAGCATTTTGTCCTTAGACACTCTTCTGTGGACACTCTTCTGTGGACATGTGGCCAGTGGGACTAGTCACGGAAGGCTGTTACCTTTCCACCATGGTGGCATCTATTTATCTACTCGCATTTTACATGCTTTCAAACTGCTAGGTTGGCAGGAGTTGGGACAAGCGATGGGAGTTCACTCCAATGTGTGGATTCGAACTGCTGGTCTTTTGATCTTGGAGCCCAGAGGCTTCTGCAATTTAACCTGCAGCGCCACCATGTCCCTATATTGTGAATGTGTAAAAAAAGGTAAAGGTAAAGGTTCCCCTTGACAGTTTGTCCAGTTGTGTCCGACTCTAGGCAGCGGTGCTCATTTCCGTTTCCAACCCATAGAGCTAGCGTTTTGTCTGCAGACAATCCTCCGTGGTCATGTGGCCAGTGTGACTAGACAAGGAACGCCATTTACCTCCCCACCAAGGTGATCCCTATTTATTTACTAGCATTTTTGCATTTTGAATGCTTTCGAACTGCTGGAAACGCATTTCCAGCAGTTCGAAAGTATGCAAAAATGCAAAAATACAGAGGCCCTGGTGTCGGTTAATGGTTCCCAACCTTGGGTCCTCAGACATCCTTGGACTACCACCCCCAGAAATCCTGGCTAACACACCTACTGGTGAAGAACTTTGGGAATTTTAGTCCAACAACATCTGGGGAACCACCATTGCGAACTACTGGGATTGTGAGCGGCAGGCATAATCTTGAATGGGATGCATGAATTTAAGAGCCTACCTAATTAAGGGTCTTCTTGATATGATGGGTAATGCCTTAACTTTGGACTACCACCCCCAGAAATCCTGGCTAACACACCTACTGGTGAAGACCTTTGGGAATTTTAGTCCAACAACATCTGGGGAACCACCATTGCGAACTACTGGGATTGTGAGCGGCAGGCATAATCTTGAATGGGATGCATGAATTTAAGAGCCTACCTAATTAAGGGTCTTCTTGATATGATGGGTAATGCCTTAATAAGGCCATGGTGTTTGGGAGCCTCAGAGCTGTAGGTGATGTGTAATTGGGGAGTTATGGAAGTTTAGGTAGAAGTTTTAAACTTCTACTTGATTTCCAAGCCATCTGTGATGTTGCTTTGCACAGTGATTCCCAACTTTGAATTCTTGGATTACAATTCCCATTATCCCTGACTGTTTTCTGTATTGGCTGAGGTGCTTTGGGAAGCTAAAGATAACAACATCTGGGGACCACCAAATGATAGGAAACACTGGAGTCAAGGCAGCAATGCAGTCTGGTTAGGAGAACTGCACTGTATTCTGATCCTTCTTTGCTTTATCTCTTGGTTGGTCTTTTTCAAGGTTTGAAGTTGCTGAAAGTTGTATTCCAGTTGTTGATTTGAAGTTCAGTGCATGCCTGTTGCTTTAACAAGCAGTTCCCTTTCCCAGACAATGTTTTTGTGGTGATTAGGTTTGCAATGTGTTAAGCAGCACAGAATCCAGCCACCAGTTGGTATTTTAGTGTTGCAAAACTCACGCTGCAGTCTGATGCATCTGTTCTAGACAGTGATTTCTACTGAACTGTGATGCTCCTTCAAACAGATGTACACACCCCAGGCTGCACAGTCTCCTTGTTAATTAACATATATTTTTAGTATCTTCTCTCCTTTTAACTGCCCAAGAACTGCAGCACTATGCCAGTCGCATAATCAGGATCCAGTGTAAATACTGCTATAGTCTGAACATCAAGAAAGCTCCTTGAAGAACCAGTGGTGGTGGGCAAAATCCTAGTCAGTCTTGGTGGTTATACAAAGAAATAATGGCTGTCAGGATCATATCTCTCTCCTTCTTGATTTTGTGACAAAGTTCCTATGCTATGCTTTCCTGTGCTGGGTGGCTTGGATCCTGAGTGGCTAAGAAAGTACTCATCTTCCATTCTCTGCTTGGAAGATGACAGTAAGCTTGGCATTTTAGCTGCAGGACTTGGACAACTGAACAATTGCCAACTGAACAATCCTTCTAACCTGGGAAGTGGTAGCATGAAACTAAATTAAAGTGATTGATTATTCACTTACCTCCAGTAAACCATGAGTGGAGTGAAGATTAGGGTTCATCATATTCACTAGAAGACAAGCAAAAATAATGTAAACATTGAAACCTGCTTCTGATTTGTGAAATTAGACTAGGGAAAACAGCAGAAGCTGGGAACAATAATTCACTTGGCAAAGGACTGAAATGGATAAGGATTTGAACTGCACTGATTACATAAGGCTTTGACAGTGTTTGACTTTGAAAAGGATTCTTTATAGTTTAGCCGTTTATTGGTAACTGATTTTTTTAAAGAACTTACTACATAGAAAGTGGAAGAGAGCTGTTTCTAAATTGAAAGCATGGTAAGATCAGTGTGATTCTTCCTTTTATATGGCAAATACAGTGGTGCCGTGCTTCACGATTACCTTGTTAGACGAGGAAATCGTTTAACGATGAGTATTTCGTGATCGCTATAGTGACTACAAAACAATGTTTGCATGGGTTTTTTTGTTTAACCATGATCGGTTCCCTGCTTCGGGAATCAATTTTTCGCTTAACGACGATCAAAACAGCTGATCATCGGGGCTGTGCAGAATGGCCGCCCGCTGTGTTTTAGGTTGGATTCCTTTCTATACAGGCACCAGAAAATGGCTGCCCTATGGAGGATCTTCGCTAGACGCTGAGGTATTTCGCCCATTGGAATGCATTGAACCAGTTTTCAATGCATTTCAATGGGTTTTTTACTTTCACTTGACGATTTCATTCTACAGCAATTTTGCTGGAACGGATTATCGTCAAGTGAGGCACCACTGTATGGACAAATCATATATTTTGTGCAAGGTTTAGAGTAGTACTGAAATTCTCACTGGGTAAAAGATAGTAAATTTTGGCAAGGTATAGGGAAGCTGTGCAGTGTGGATTCTTGACCTGGTTTTTAGCAGTTTCTGTTCACCAGACTGTCTCCTCTTGCATTGCTTCGAACATTTTTTTGCATGGTCCTGTATATTTAGATTTCTTTTTTCAGTCTTAATGGAAGTAAAAATCATTACACTATGGAGCAGCTAGTTCTCTGGCCATTTGTGAGCTGTCTTGGAATAGTTGCATTAAATGGTGCATTGTGTTCCTTCTTTCTTTGTTCATTCAGATCTCAACTTGGAATGTACTTGTACAGCATTCTTTATGGGAAGAAATGGCAGTGAGAGCAAGAATATAAGTGCTGCCCACATAGCGTAATTTTTAATGACATGCACTCTAACCTTCTTTCCATTGATTATGAAATTTTCATCCAGGATCCAGACCATTTTCATTTAGACCGCTGCCGATTCCTTTCCTCACGGCCGACTGTTCATTCTTTATTTAGTTCAGAATGCCTCTGCTGAAATGTTTGTTTCCTATTATAATGACCAAGTTGCCTTTTTCTTTGTGCATTCTTCATTGGCCAGGATATAAGTCCAATGTGTCTGTCACAAAGAACTGCTGGATATCTCAGTGGTTTAAGGTATCTGGCTGTGAAGCCAGAGGTTCAGTTCCCCACTGTGTCTCCTTGACAGGAGCTAGACTTGATCCATAGGATCCCTTCCAACTCTTCAATTCTAAGATGATGATGATGATTCTTATTTCTTTGGTGGGTCTACTTAAGAGGTGTGAATTATGTGCCCCATGAGCAGCATGCAGCCTGTTATGGCCCCTGATGTGGCACCTTGACAAGCCATTCTTTTCAGCCTCAAAATGGATAACTGTGCCTCCAGTAGGTTCTATGGACATAAGTATGAATTGTAAGGCTGTTTCAAACTACATTATTGTTTAAGGATCTGGAATAGTTTTTTTTTGTAAGAACTGGTCATTTCTGAGATTAGAAAAAGAGCTATTGAGGTCTGGACCAATGCTCCCT